CATACACACACACAGGCTTGTGTCTGTCAGAGTGAAGCTTTTGTTATGCTAATTAATGACAGCATGCAGCTGACAGAGAGACAGGGTGAGAGCAAAATGGGTTTAAAATTTCTCGAACTAGTCCTTCCAGTTCCAAACTGTGGGTCCGATCGTCAATCTGAAGATATCACCAGAGAGATAAACTTGTTCTGAAAGCAGAAATATATAGCTTTTATGTGTGTGGAGTCAAAAATGCGACCTTAGTCGCAAGTTTTAGATATGTTGGCTCTCATCTTTTCTTCCAAAGGTCGTCATAAGTCTTTGTGTCCTGCACCTTTGACAATTATAAAATCCTAACCGTTTGAGTAATGACAAAGTCCTTCACAAGTAATGTTCACCAGGGGTAGCGCTGTTATGTGTGCAAGTTTGAAGCAGTTATGATAAACGGTGTAGGAGCAAATCTTTTTTGAGAGAGAGAATTTGTGAACGTCATCTTACATTGAAAGGGCAATAGCGCACTTCCTGTTGGATTTAGGTCAGTGGTGCGAGCGCATTATTTGTAGGTCTTGATGAGACGAAGGAGCTAGTTTTGGTTTGGTCTTTCTACGGGATTCCTACTGGTCGCAGCGGGCATTTTAGTGTGTGTAGGTGGCACAAAAATCGTCATGAGGTTTTTTGCCTTTGAGAGGCCATAAAATCCAAACCGTTCGAGTAATGAAAAAGTTGTACAGATGATTTGTTCCCCGGGGGTTGATCTGTCAGGGTTGTGACTTTGAAGCCAATACGATAAAGGGTGCAGGAGGATTTGTTTTTTTAAGGATTTTGAAGAAAGAGCATTTTTGAGGCGAAATCTTACTTTGAAAGGGCAAATAGCTCACTTCCTGTTGGGTTTAGGTCAGGGGTGCGAGCATGTTATATGTACAGTACAGGCCAAAAGTTTGGACACACCTTCTCATTCAATGCGTTTTCTTTATTTTCATGACTATTTACATTGTAGATTCTCACTGAAGGCATCAAAACTATGAATGAACACATGTGGAGTTATGTACTTAACAAAAAAAGGTGAAATAACTGAAAACATGTTTTATATTCTAGTTTCTTCAAAATAGCCACCCTTTGCTCTGATTACTGCTTTGCACACTCTTGGCATTCTCTCCATGAGCTTCAAGAGGTAGTCACCTGAAATGGTTTCCACTTCACAGGTGTGCCTTATCAGGGTTAATTAGTGGAATTTCTTGCTTTATCAATGGGGTTGGGACCATCAGTTGTGTTGTGCAGAAGTCAGGTTAATACACAGCCGACAGCCCTATTGGACAACTGTTAAAATTCATATTATGGCAAGAACCAATCAGCTAACTAAAGAAAAACGAGTGGCCATCATTACTTTAAGAAATGAAGGTCAGTCAGTCCGGAAAATTGCAAAAACTTTAAATGTGTCCCCAAGTGGAGTCGCAAAAACCATCAAGCGCTACAACGAAACTGGCACACATGAGGACCGACCCAGGAAAGGAAGACCAAGAGTCACCTCTGCTTCTGAGGATAAGTTCATCCGAGTCACCAGCCTCAGAAATCGCAAGTTAACAGCAGCTCAGATCAGAGACCAGATGAATGCCACACAGAGTTCTAGCAGCAGACCCATCTCTAGAACAACTGTTAAGAGGAGACTGCGCCAATCAGGCCTTCATGGTCAAATAGCTGCTAGGAAACCACTGCTAAGGAGAGGCAACAAGCAGAAGAGATTTGTTTGGGCCAAGAAACACAAGGAATGGACATTAGACCAGTGGAAATCTGTGCTTTGGTCTGATGAGTCCAAATTTGAGATCTTTGGTTCCAACCGCCGTGTCTTTGTGAGACGCAGAAAAGGTGAACGGATGGATTCCACATGCCTGGTTCCCACTGTGAAGCATGGAGGAGGAGGTGTGATGGTGTGGGGGTGTTTTGCTGGTGACACTGTTGGGGATTTATTCAAAATTGAAGGCACACTGAACCAGCATGGCTACCACAGCATCCTGCAGCGACATGCCATCCCATCCGGTTTGCGTTTAGTTGGACGATCATTTATTTTTCAACAGGACAATGACCCCAAACACACCTCCAGGCTGTGTAAGGGCTATTTGACCAAGAAGGAGAGTGATGGAGTGCTGCGGCAGATGACCTGGCCTCCACAGTCACCGGACCTGAACCCAATCGAGATGGTTTGGGGTGAGCTGGACCGCAGAGTGAAGGCAAAGGGGCCAACAAGTGCTAAACACCTCTGGGAACTCCTTCAAGACTGTTGGAAAACCATTTCAGGTGACTACCTCTTGAAGCTCATGGAGAGAATGCCAAGAGTGTGCAAAGCAGTAATCAGAGCAAAGGGTGGCTATTTTGAAGAAACTAGAATATAAAACATGTTTTCAGTTATTTCACCTTTTTTTGTTAAGTACATAACTCCACATGTGTTCATTCATAGTTTTGATGCCTTCAGTGAGAATCTACAATGTAAATAGTCATGAAAATAAAGAAAACACATTGAATGAGAAGGTGTGTCCAAACTTTTGGCCTGTACTGTAGGTCTTGATGAGATGAACAAGACAGTTTTGGTTTGATCTTTCTACGTCATTCCTACAAGCCGCAGCAGCCATTTTAGTGTGTGTAGGTGGCGCTAGACAGCCCATTATGGAACTTTGAGGATTAATTACTTCATTTTCTAAAATTTTTCACCAGTCCTGAGATGCATGCCAATTTTGGTGATTTTTTGAGCAGGTTTAGGGGGTAAACAGATTTTTTTCCACATCAGTACCCCCCCCCCATCATGCAGTAGGTGCCCTTTTTTCCTTTTCACCCCTGACCTACAAACATCCTAAGTCCACCACTGACAGAGAGAGACAAGTTGAAGAGCAGGCAGATGGAGGTGGCTTTCAACTCCTCCCTTTCAGTCCCAAACCGTAGGTCCAATCATCAATCTGAACATACCACGAGAGAGATACACTCGTTCTGAACGCATAGATATAGGCTTCATGTTTGTAAAATAAAAAATGCAATCTTGGACATACGTTTATGATGTCTAGCTCACAGCTGACATATTTGCTCATGTTACTTCAGAGGCACTAGCTCATTTCCTGTTGGAGTTAGGTTGTTGGTGTCAATGAGTGATTTGTATCTCTTGATCAGACAAAGAAGCCAGTTTTGATTTAATCTGTCTACACCATTCATACGGGCCACAGCAGCCATTTTGGTGTGTCTAGGTGGTGCAAAAATTGTCAAGAGGTTTTGTGACATGTCACCTTTCAGAGGCACTAGCTCATTTCCTGTTGGATCTAGGTCAGCAGTGTAAATGAGTGATTTGTAGGTCTTGTGGAGAAAAAGAAGCCAGTTTTGGATTGATTTTTCTACAGAATTCTTACAGGGTGCAACAGCCATTTTAGTGTGTCTAGGTGGTGCAAACATTGTCAAGAGGTTTTGTGACATGTCACCTTTAAGAGGCACTAACTCATTTCCTGTTGGATTTAGGTCAGTTGTGTTAATGATTGATTTGTAGGTCTCGAGGAAATGAAGAAGCCAGTTTTGATTTAATCTTTCTATAGCATTCGTACAGCCCACAGCAGCCATTTTACTGTGTCTATGTGGCACAAAAATTGTGAAGAGGTTTCGTGACATGTCACCTTAAACACCTTAAAATCCAAACTGTTCGAGTAATGACAAAGTTGTTCAGAGGAATTGTTTAGCAGGGCTTGGTCTGTCATGTGTGCGAGTTTGAAACCGATAGGATAAATGATGTAGGAGGAAATATTTTTTGAGAGAGAGAATTTGTGAAAAACGACATCTTACTTTGAAAGGGCAATAGCGCACTTCCTGTTGGACTTAGGTCAGTAGTTACAGTGCGTGATTTGTAGGTCTTGATGACACGAACGAGCCAGTGTTGGTTTGGTTTTTCTACGGGATTCCTACCGGTCGCAGCGGGCATTTTAGTGTGTCTAGGTGGCACAACAAAATCATCAAGAGGTTTTGTAAGACATCACCTGGAAGATGCCATAAAATCCAAACCATTCAAGTAATGAAAAAGTTATACAGAATATTTGATTAGGACAAGTTGATCTGTCTTGTGTGCGAGTTTGAAGCCCATACGATAAACGGTGAGTCTCGATGAGACGAACAAGCCAGTTTTGGTTTCATCTTTCTACGTCATTCCTACAAGCCGCAGCAGCCATTTTAGTGTGCCTAGACTGCTAGGTGGCACTAGAGAGGCCATTTTGGCACTTTTCGGATTATTTTTTTCATTTCCTACAATTTTTCGCCAGTCCTGACATGCGTGCCAATTTTGGTGAGTTTTGGAGCATGTTTAGGGGGTCAAATTCCAGTTTAAAGAGGCGGTGGGAGAAAGAAAGACAGAATAATAAACGCTACAAAAACAACAGGGTCCCTAATAATAATAATAACAATAATAATAATAAACTTTGCAGGAACAAGAGGGCCGAGGCCGAGGTCCCTAATAAATGTACCAGAAACAAGAGGGACTTAGGGCCCTAATAAATAGTTAATACAAAAGCAGGAAGTAGTGAGATAGAAAAAATAAACAGTGCTTCTCAATGTCAAGGATGCTTCCTTTCTAGGATGGGTCCTTCCAAAAGGGGTCCTTCAGAGACTAGGCAACACCCATTCTAAGCATTCAGTGAACACAAATTGGAACAGGCTAGCTAGTGACCAGGTGTGACTTATTGTGTGGCAATTCCGGCAAATCATGTGCAAAGAACTGTGGGCACTTAATGCACTCTGAGGATACACACATGCATCCTTGAAAATTCTCTGAAGGAAGGATTTGGTTCTTGGTAGAATTGGGAGGATCCATTGGGAGGGTCTTTTGACAGGATTTGATGACAAAGCACATTTCATACATATCAATATCAATTGATCAGTGAGTGCTGTGTGTGTGTGTGTGTGTGTGTGTGTGCGTGTCTGTGTGTGTGTGTGTGTGTGTGTGCGCATGCCTGCGTGCATGCCTGCGTGTGTGCGTGCTTGTGTGTGTGTGTGTGTGCAGTTACCTGATGCAGAGAAGACCTGGATGACCCATAGAAAGGCTGCAGCCCTCCTAGCATGTTTGATGTTGTGTTTGAGCAGATTCAGACTCAGCAGCACAGCTCCAGCCTCCTCTGCCTTCCTACCTATATGACGATCTGCAGAGAACAAATATCAAATGTTTCCATGAATGTGTAGACAGAGTAACGATGAGGTTAAAAGGGTAGAATCAGCTGATCATATGATGGATTTATCTTAATCAAGCCCCCTCACTAGTGTGTGGCACTTTCTGCTTACACACCAAAACTAAACTGCTAATGTGCACAAATCAAGTCATTTATGTGCACACATAATTATCCAAGTGAAGGGATGACTACCATTACTATGAGCAAACAAATGATCAGAAATGTTATACTTGATACCTGTTGATACCTGATGGGTCCAACAACCACCCTGTTCTGTTTTTCCTAAACCTAACCACATGCTTTTGTTGCCTAAACCCAACCACATGCATTTGGTGACTACAGTAACCATGTGTTTGCTGTTGAAGGAAAAAAAAAAAAGTTAATTTTCGGTGTTGTACCGACACAGTGCGTTCATTTTGAAAGAAACTGTAATGCAAACTTTTCGGATTAATTTTTTCATTTCATAAAATTTTTCGCCAGTCCTGATAGGCATGCCAATTTTGGTGAGTTTTGGAGCATGTTTAGGGGGTCAAATTCCAGTTTAAAGATGCGGCGGATGAAAGAAAGAATAATAATTAAAGCTGCTAGCAGCGTTGTCGGGACCTCGGCTTCACGCTTTTTCAGCTTCCAGCTCACATAGAGATTTTGAATTATTTAAGAGAGGCAAAATGTTGATAAAACAAGCTATGTCAATAGAATGCAACGTCCACATTGAAATGTAATACACTGTCATGATAAAGAAATTATATAATGTGGACAACAACATGGTGTTGTCATGCTGTTAAGAATTGAAGTGTACCCCATGTATTGTAAAAGACAAAGGCCTTTTATGACAGTGCTCCTGTTTCGTGTGTAACACATTGTGATCTAAGTACATGAATATATATGTACCTAATATAAATTTTAACTGGATAACAATATAGTATGTAATTAACAGTCATGATCATAAATGTAGCAACAGAGTTATCAGTATTAAAGGTTGTAGTAGTATGTGACAGATGGAAAATGGTGGTACATAATGTAGGTGGTGTTTAAGTTTTTTCAATAAAATAATGTACAAGTCCCTATAGACAGAAAAAAATCACCTTTCCAAAAACTGCTGTACAAATATAATATATTAATATTTTTGCCACTTTGAACAAGTCAATTTAGTCTTTTAGAACTACTGTAGAGTGAAATATACATATTAAATATTAACTATGTTTTGAGGATTTTAATTGTTTAATGGCTTGTTTCATAGCTCTACTGTTTTTATAGGGGGAAAAAATTTGAAATAATTTCCATAAAATACATGTCAAGGAGAATTCAATAGTTGTTTTTAGACCCTGAGCTAGGTCAATGAACTACTTCAGCCTGAAATATATACAGTACAGGCCAAAAATTTGGACACACCTTCTCATTCAATGCGTTTTCTTTATTTTCATGACTATTTACATTGTAGATTCTCACTGAAGGCATCAAAACTATGAATGAACACATGTGGAGTTATGTACTTAACAAAAAAAGGTGAAATAACTGAAAACATGTTTTATATTCTAGTTTCTTCAAAATAGCCACCCTTTGCTCTGATTACTGCTTTG